TATATAAGTGTGTAAGTATATAAGTGTGTGTGTGTTTGACATTGAATACATTTTATTATAATATAGTTGTATATAATGCAACATTTACTTTTGTCCCATGGCCCTCAATAAAGTTTGATTTTTGGTCCTTCATATTAAAAATTTGGGACACTCTGGTATAAGTTATCACGAGCTAAATGTGTGTATGAGAGCAGATAACAAGGTCTAGGTGACCTGTAAAATGCCCAATGTGTCATTTTATGGTTCATATGAGCGCTCACACTGGTCCAGACTTCTCAGTGGACCACTACCCAGGAGTCCCTGCAACAGACAGCTTATGAAAAGGACGTTCAAATGCTCAACTCACCTTCATGGCATCCAGCGCTTGCCGTAAATTACTCTTGTCTGTGGCATCATGGGTGTGTTTCACCAGTTCCTGTCAGGAAGAAAGCGGGATATGAGTTTTTACGGGCCATGTCTCAGTGTCTTATTATCACCAGATGATGATGAACACAGCAGACAGTCAGATGTACAGGAGCGAAGCCGTGCTGGAGGACATCTGTCACTCTCGCACGCTCTCATAACTCCTACTCATCACTGTGCAGATTGTTTACCAACAATATAGAGAGAACATTTAGATAGTAGTCATCTGAAATGTAACGTCATGCTCTAGTGTTTTAAATTAAGTTAACACAAGTAATTGTGTTATATTAGAGTCATAATTTGACTTTTCCTAATTCAGTGACACAGAATTGACAGGACTTAAAAAAATTATTATCCATTATTTTATTATTCAATTCTATTCATTTATTTTTTTCAATTAATAAATTGTTTTGAATTTGTTTTCATTTGATTTGAAAAGAAAAATTAATTGCCCTGACATTTTTTTTTATCCACTTACATATTTGCTACATGAGCAGTATATAAACCTATCACATAAATTATTCCTCTGAAACACACCTATTATAAATTAAAAGTGGCAATTTCAGTTGACAGAAAAATATAATGAAGTAAAATAAATTAATAAATATACTAACCAAGGAATTGAACATAGGAGGAAATGTTTTTATGGGATTTCCAATATTTAATATTAGCTGAGCAGGATGGTGCATTAATAAAGTGTTGATTTTTTACTTCATAGGTTACACTGAGAGAGTTTTATTTGATTTCACATGTTGTGTTCATCAAGCCCTGCTCCGAAAAACAGGAGGTGGCTCTTATACTATTAAAATAGTAAACCAAAAATAATCAAATAAACAAGGTTATTATGTGGCAAGCATTACAATACAATGATAATACAAACATACACAGAATGGCATGTCTTTCTATCTTACGATCTCTTTTGGCGACACACACACACACACACACACACACACCCCCAAGCTGAAATAATATCCCAACCTGCATCGCAGGTTCAAGAATTGAAATGAGAAGCAAAAGGTTTTTGTGGGGTTGAAATTGCCTTCCTGCTCCGGGATGAAGTAAACAAGACATCTGGGCCAGTCTGTAGTATAAGGGAGGGTGCTATGAATGTCCTTTACTCAGGTCTGATAAATGGCTTCCTTTTGGCCTAAGAGATATATTGCCATCCAGCACAAGCCAAATCCCCTGCGTCAGTCAAGCTGAACCTGCGCATTATTATCAGCAGAAAGATGGACATCACCTTATTTTTCATTCTCACTTCCTTCTGCCCTCACACAGCGAGAGAGAGAGAGAGAGAGAGAGAGAGAAAGGAGGTATGACACGAACACAACAGATTATCGCAGAAATAAAATGCAGCCAATCTCTTATCTAAACGTTTGCAGAATTCCAGAAGAATATCGTTCGAATGTGATTTCACAGGCCTGCATCACAGTATTGTAATGTCTGGTCCACTTTGCACCTTTTAATGTCTAATAACTACCCAATTGTTCAAATTCTGCTCAAAATTTGTCACTTTGTTGCTATCAATGTGAACAACTTGAAAAATATTACCACTTTAAACTGATATTTATTGGCTTAGTCAGAAATTTTTTCTTAAAAGCATAATTTTTTATGTCTAAGTTTTACATCCTGATTTGCAACCATTACTTTTACAACCCCTTCTTTGTATGGTTACAGTAAAAATATAATTTTCAAAATATGGACATACTGTACACTAGAGCCCGACCGATATGGGTTTTTTGGGGCCAATACCGATATTAGGGAGTAAAAAAAGGATATCGATATATCGGCCGATATTCTTTGTGTATATTATAGTACAGTACCAGTCAAAAGTTTGGACACTTTCCCATTCGTGTGTCCACACATTTGACTGGTACTATATATAGAATACAGTATATACATAAACAGAATATATATACATAAACACATTTTTTGCAATGATCACTCAAATGTGGTGATCAAACACTTATAATGACGTGACAGAGATACGTAATGGAGGCAGGGCATTTAACAATTTAACAATAAACTTTATTATCCAAAATGAGTCTGACATCAGTGCACTGAACAGTAAAGTTGAAGTTTATTCAACTTTAATTCAATTCAATTCCATTCAACTTTATTCCGTTAAAGTTTATTTCACTTCGAAACATTCATTCACGGATCTGCACTACTGTCTTCACACACAGACGGAACTTACTAGAGAAGTGTGAATTGTGACATAATATACCTCTGTAAATAAATACAATATAAATTCACGTCTCGCACACTTTAATGCCCTTTGAATGTAATGTGTACGTTCCCTTGGAACTGGAATCATGGCGGAATTTCATGTGAAGTCCACTTTGCAGGGCACTTACGGTCGAATAAGACAACACTTGAATGCTGCTGCCTGAACAAGTCCTTACTGAAGTGAAAGTGTTGACTGGTGTCACTATCTCGCGAATGCGCCGGCGGATCTCCACCAAATTCGGGGGATCCCTTCAGCTCAAGGAGCCCTCTTGAGCGCCACCCTCCGCGCGTCGGTAGCCCCCCGGGATCGCTTGATTGGTCGGAGCCAGGTCCGCGAATTTAACCACCCGTAACTCCCGAACCCTGGGGGCTATCGACGCGGGGGTGGTCTCATTCGAAAGCAGGTCTCTAGATGTACACTCGATTAATGTTCGATAGGGTTCCTCGAGCTGAAAGGATCCCCCGAATTTGGTGCGGATTCGCCGCGCCGTTACGGAGATATGGCCGTTCAAAGTTTCAATGGTTTTCCATAGACTTAAGCTTTAAAACATTTCATCCAGGTCGCCAATAGCAAACAATGGAGCAAATGGACAAACTAAGTAATTACACCATTTCAAGCAGTTTATCTGCGTTATATGTTCTGTAAAAAAATTTCATATCAGCGGCATATTCGCCGATACCGATATATCGGCAACAGGCTGTTACAGAGGAGGCTCCCATACCTTATGAAGTATCAACTCTACACCAAAGCTGAGAAATGCGAGTTTCACCAAACACACCCACCTACTTCATGCTGTCAGACGACAAGAACAACAAGCTAACCGACTTCGACGTCCCGGTCCAGAGTACACACCGGGCCAATGGGTATGGCTCTCGACTAAAGATCTCCGCCTCCGGTTACCATGTAAAAAGCTCAGTCCCAGGTATGTTGGTCCCTTCAGAATTTCTAGACAAATAACTCCAGTATCATTCCGTTTAGAACTGCCTTCTAATTATCGTATTTCTCCCACATTCCATGTATCACTGCTTAAACCCGCTGGTGGTCCGAGAGGAGAGACGGAGGAGGGAGCCAGGCCGCAGACTCCCCTGCCTATCCTGGTTGACGGCGAGGAGGCGTATCGAGTGCACAAGTTGCTAGACTCCAGACGCCGGGGCGGCACCCTCCAGTATCTGGTCAATTGGGAGGGGTTCGGTCCGGAGGAGAGATCTTGGATCAGAGCTGGAGATATCCTGGACCCCACTCTCACTGAATAGTTTCACAGGACGCATCCAGAGAAACCGGCCCCTCTACCTCGTGGAAGACCCCTGCTTCCTCGCGTCAGGAGCCGCTCGCAGGGGGAGGGCTCTGTTACAGAGGAGGCTGTCGCCGCCCCTCTGACTACCATGACCAAACGTCACACATCCAGACTGATTTGGTCCCCAGAGTCACGTCTGGCCTTCGACGAATTAAAAACTCGGTTCACCACTGCTCCTATTCTCCGACATCCAGACCCAGAGCGCGCATTCATTGTGGAGGTCGACGCTTCTAACACCGGGGTAGACGCTATACTATCTCAACGTCATGGTTCGCCAGCTAAGATGTACCCATGTGCTTTCTTGTCCCGCAAACTGACCGCCACCGAACGGAACTACAAGGCTCTGTTACAGAGGAGGCTCCCGTACCGCCTCCTCCGCACCACAGAGGGAACTGTCCCCAGAATATTAGCGATCTCCCATTCGGACTCCATTTCCCATCATCCCTCATACCTGGGACTGATTACACAACCATACCTGCACCTCATTTACACACTCACACACACACACATATAAGCCACAACATTACACGGACTCTTTGCGAAGTCTTGATTTGCCCTGGCTGTCATACCAAATTCATCCAGGACTGTATCACGTGTCAGACTTCCAAATCACCCAGACAACTCCCGGCCGGCCTGCTACAACCACTACCGACACCACAACGACCTTGGTCTCATATCGCCATCGACTTCATCACCGACCTACCCAATTCCCAAGGTAACACCACCATACTCACAATCATAGACCGATTCTCCAAAGCCTGCTGTCTAATTCCTTTACCCAAGCTCCCCACAGCCTTCGAAACCGCCATTCCTGATTCTCTGATTGTTATCTGCCTGCCCCGACTTGGATTGTTTCACCTGGACTCTGTTTGCTAGCCGCTTGCCCCGATCGCTCGCCTGGTTCAAGATTCTGTCTCTGCCTTGTCTCTGCTGTTCTGCCTTGCCGGTATTTGACCCTGTATTGTCTGACTATTCTTAATAAAACTGCAAATGGATCCAAACCCTTCTGACGTGTCGCACCACAGGCTCATATCGGCCGATAATATCGGCAAAACGATATATCGGTCGGGCTCTACTGTACACTATCATTCAAAAGTCAGTAAAAATGTTTCCATGGCTTTTTAAAAAGTCTTATGCTCACCAAGGCATTTATTTGATCAAAAATACAGCTAAAACAGTAATATTGTGAATATATCATTACAATTTAAAATAACTGTTTAATATGTGATGACAAAGCTGCAGCCATTACTCCACTCTTCAGTGTCACATAATACATGGTTATTATTGTAACCTATAATTAAAACTTATACTATTAAAAACACTGTTGTTGAAAATTTAACTAAAATTAAATTGAATATAAATATTCAAAACTTGATGACTAAAATAAGGTTAAGTTGAGGCACTAAAATTCCTAAAAAAAAATAAAACTGAAATAAAAATAAATTCAACCTACAAATAGTATGTTTGAAAAACAAAATCTAATAAAAATTGCAAAAGCGCATAACAAAATTACTGAAATGAAAATGAAAAAAGAAAACAGCAAAAAATAATAATTATTAAAAGCTATTTTAAAATATATAAAAAACTATAACATAAATAATACTAAAGTAACACTAAATCCATCAGAAATCATTCTAATAGGCTGATTTGGTGTGCAGGAAACATGTCTTATTATTATCAATGTTGCAAACAGTTATGCTGCTTAATAGTTTCATAAATAAATGAATGAATGAATGAATGAATGAATGAATGAATTTAAGACTAGATAAGATTTACAATTATTTAATTTAATTTTTTAATTTAAATATACAAATATTAGAATCCCTTATATTAGATTATTTATGAATTTTGATTATAACTCATTATGTAAAGCTGGCTTGCTCTTTCTCTCAATGGCCAAGGCTTCCTCCAGCAGAGCAAAGAACAGAGAAAGACAGTCTGTCACACGCTAGCCTGCTCTCCAGAGGGGCAGCAGACAGACAGACGCTCTCCACAGGCTCATATCCTCACACACACACACACACACACACACACACACATTCCCTAAACCCACAGCTGGCCAGATGGGCAAGGAGGTGAACTGAGCTGTGGACAGCCTTGCAGGCATGCTAAGTACACACACACACACACACACACACACACACAGAAAACACCTTCGCTGTTCTGTCCGCTGAGAGCCGAAAGGTTCCTGCAACAGCAGGAGGATCGCGGTGGCTTCGGTTCACACACGCTATGCACATCTCCTTCCTCTGCTTTTCTATTTCTCTCTCGCCTTCGTTCACATTTATTTTTAAATCCCCTCATAGCTGGGTCATGCAGTAGACCTAACGTGTGATGGACAGAGACACACTATGAAATATTCATGCCAGTCTGTGTGAGGTGTTTGTGGAAAAGGGCCAGACCAAACATACATGACTGGATAAAGCATGCTGCTTGCTCATTATGTGGATTATACTGCCCCTACCGGAGGAATCTGGAATTTATTACACTGCCACCTACTGGTGGATTTCAAACATGCATTATGCTGCTTCTAAGTTGAAGAGTAAAACATGGACTCCACTGCCCCTAGTGGACATTAGCAGTAAAGCAGTCATTTGTCTGAAGACTATGGAAGAAGAATTGACCCTATTTTTTTTACAGTCCATTAGGGCACATTAATCAGTGCATATTATTATATAGATGATAGATTTAGTTAACTAAATCTAAATTTTTTTTAAATAAAATAGATGTTAACTAAAATAATACATACAAAACAAACCAAAACGGAAATATTTTTTTTTAAATAAAAAAAACCTAATTGACAAAGACAAAACCACAATAAAATTACATTTTTACTAAAACTTTAAAACTTTAAATTAAAAATGAAAACAGAAAAAAATTATACTTCAAATTATACTAATAATAAATTAATTAATATATAATATTTTTTTTAAATCACATTAGTATCTCTAATTCTAAAATAACACTGCTTTAATGAGCAGGAATACAGCAAAATTATTTCAGACCTGTAGAAGTAGATGATACTTCAGGACTCTCTGCATCGGAACCACCAGAAGATCTCTCAGAGTAAACTTCCCGTTATTGGCTCGTTTGGAACATAACTGAAATTAATTTTTAAAAAAAACACATATGTGACTGTGACATGACTGTTCTGTAAATAAATGAAGAGAGCAAAACGTTGAAATAAACTGTTCATAAATATTCTGCACCGTTCTCAACCACCAGGTGTCTAACAGCAAATAAACTTCAGTTTTGGTAGTGAAACGTAAGAACTACTTTCATAAATAATTTCATAACAAATTAATTTTATGCTGTACAAAGGGTCAAAATAATGTCACTTCCTCAGTGGAAAAGTCTAATGTTCTTTAGAAATGTTACATTATTTTTATAATGAGGGGAGACAAAATCACGTAACAAAATGCAGAGTACATCCAAACCTACAACTAACTGAATACCAATTAAATAGGCTGCATTATTTAAATGACACTTTTTATTAAAATATTAGATAGTTTGTTGTATGTTAGATACTAGTTCTTCTTAACATTTCCAAGTTCTCACAAGAAATATGTGTGCCTTTGATGCTAAAAAAAAGTGTCCAGTATTCATGGAAAATGCCACTTATGACCCGAGAGATGTTTTATGAATATAGTCTGACAATGTCTTACCTCTAACATCTGCCTGACGTCCTCTCTGTTCTTACAGATGTCATCCAAACACGCAATGGCTGATTCTACTTGACTGCAGTATTTCCCATACAGGACTAATCTATCAGACAGGAAAACAGACACATGTGAGAAGGGGAAGGAGGGTTTCATTCTTTTAATCGCTGAAGGGCTAAATCAATCACCTTTCTTTGTATTTTATAAAGATCTGAAACAGGTTACTGGCGTTATGCATGAGCACTGAATCCTGGACCTCTCTCAGAAGACTCGTGTGCACCTTCACAAGGTCCTGGTACAATACAGAACATCAAAATATTAGGCGATAAGAACAATGACACAGTGATTCATGCTAAAATGTGTCCTCCGTTAGAGGCAGTTTGTGACTCACTGGTATATTGATGAACACTTTTTCAATCTCCACACTGGACAGTGACTGTCCCAGAGGCTTCATAAAGAACTGTGGGTGGAGAAAAGAAAAATACTAATTAAGAAGTTGCTATGGATAAGCTAATGCACACAATAAAGTTATATTGCAATATAATCAATCTTTGTGGAAATGTACCTTGTTTTTATCATAGTAACTATAATAGAAATGTTGTATATTCATACTAAGATTTCAAATAAATGAATACATTTTAATGATGATGATGATGAACATTTAATAAGGAATATTATTATTATCCACTGTGTAAATGGACCATGGTTTTTTATAGTTACAACAATTAACATGTTGTATATTCATACTAATATAAAAAATTAAACAAATAATTTATTATTATTATTATTAATACATAAATAGTACTACTACTACTACTACTACTACTACTAATAATAATAATAATAATAATAATTATTATTATTATTATTATAACTATAATAATAATAATAAGTAAATAAATAAATAACAGCAGCAATAAAGCTATATTACAAAATTATTTTTGATCCACTGTGGAAATTGACCATGGTTTTATTGTAGTAACTATAATAGAAATGTTGTATATTCATACTAAGATTTAAAATAAACATCAATCATAAAATGAGTATTAAAAACAATATTTTTATTGATAGTTATAGTTTCTAAATGTGTTTAGGCGGTTTTTAAGCATTTTCAAAACCATACATTGTTTTCAGAATATTTGTCATTTTATTTTTTTTATTTCTTTAATGTGATCATAATGGTGGCTTATAGCAAGTTACTAGAAGGCAACTGTAACAATAATTGGTATTCTATGGTATTTCTATGGTATTTTGCCAGCAACCATGGGTATCATGGTAAAATATTGCACAGTAAGTTAAATCTAAACATGGTAAAAAGATTCATCCATGATTTGAGCTGTGGTTACTATGGTTTTTATACAAATGATGTGTCACATTACATCTAGCAGACACTTGGCAGATCTCATACACTGCATTAAAGCTATAATATTACAGCAGGTCTGACTGTGCAGTTCTAAAGAGGCCTCACTTTCTCTATGGAGTCCAGTGACTCTGTGTATTTCTCCTCAGTCTGTTTGATTTCCATCAGACAACAGCTTCTGATGTCCGTCTCGGCCTGTTTCTGTAATTACAGCAGCAAGAGAGTGAAACAGAGAGCTTTGTATGACTTGCAACCCAAAGCGTGTTTATATACTGTATAAAGCCTTTCAGTGAACTCACCTGCGGTTGTACCAGCTCAACCTTCATCAGATCTTCATACACCTCTCCTCCCTCATCATCATCATACACACAGTCGTAGAGATCTTCCTCATCCTCAACACCATTCTCACTGAGACACACAGACCAACATTTAGAGCTTCTCCAAAGGTTTTAGTTCAGTATATAAAACTACTATCTGACTACAGGCAGTTTACAGTAAGCAGAGAGAAATACGTTGGACGTTGGAACAGAAAAACCCCTAAGAGGACAGCGAGATATGTTCAAATGCTTCAGCATATCCAATATACTGGAGAAAAAAGGCCTCTTCTAGAAAATTGCTCATGAGGGGTTTTAAAACGATAATGTTTCCCTCTTCTAAATTAAACACACGGTTTTCAGCTACAGCACAAGCAAGAGCCAAGAGACATTATAGCTGAGTCAGGCCTTAAAATCACTCAGATATGTTCTCCAGACGGGTGTAAAAGAACGACAGAGAGACAAACTGTGTTGATTTCGTTTCCTAACCATATCTGTAGTTCGAATCTATTACGAAACGCCTTCAAGGAAAAGTCTCTCTCTGACAGGGATCAAATCGTACAGGCACATCCCCCTCCAGGGAAAAGCACTCAACAAACACATTTCATATGAACAAACCATCACATGTGGAAAACAACTCTCTGCTAGAGGGCCTTGTTTATGTGTGGCTAAGAAACAGATGTGATGAGGTCGAGCCAAAACATAGTGACAGCAGCATCAATATTTGCTAAGCATAATATCAAATCCTCAAGCTTGTCATATGAGGAGAACAGACATTTATGCTGATGCTACTTGTTGGCCTACTTAACGGCCTGTTACTCAGCAGAATCACTTTTATTGCTCAGAAGCAGTGTAGTTATCGTTGACTAGATATAGATTGTTAACTAAAAATAAGGCTGGAATAAAATGAAATATAAATAATAGAAAATATTGGTGGTGTGGCATCTGTGATCTCATATGACAGTGTGATTCAGCTACAGTTTCTCCACATATACTGACATTCATCCACTGACTGCTGATCCACTGTAGGAGTGGCTTATGTGGCTTGAAATATAGTGCGCTCATAATCGAGAGATCAAGAAAGTATAACACTTCTGGACTGTGGTGTGACAAAATAGCAGATCAAGTGGCACCGCAGGGCTCTTCATGGTCCTGTAATCCTATGACTGTGTTTGTTGTTGCCTGTCTGCTGGAATAGGAGACCCTATACGTGGCAGCAGTGGAAACGAGAGGACACAGGCCAAAGGCAAAATCTGACAGTTTGCATCTGAGGCTGTTAACAGCTGTACAGCTGCAATAACCCTTGGTGTGTCTGTATATATATATGTTATTATATGAAACAGTTGCTTTTTCAAGTTTTATGAGGTGATTTTTAAGTATTTTGTACAACATTGTAAACATTCTATCATATTAACACTGTTTTTTAAAGTGTTAATCAATTTTAATGCACCATCTCACTATAAATTAATAAAATTTAATACACTGCTGCTCAAACATTTAGCGTTGCTATTTGCAATGTTTTTGAAAGAAGACTCACCAAGGCTGCATTTATTTGAGCAAAATACAGTAAAACAGCACTATTGTAAAATTTTAAATAACTGTTTTCTATTTAAATAGAATTTATTCCTGTGATTGCACACCTGATTGTTCATCATTTCTCCAGTCTTCAGTGTCACATGATCCTTCAGAAATCATTTTAATATGCTGATCTATTGATCATTTCTCATCATTGTCAATTTTGAAAACAGTGCTGTTTAATAATTTTGTGGAAACCATGATACAGTTTTTTCAGGTTTTGTTTATGAGCGGAATGTTTAATATAACAGCATTTATTTGAAATAGATTTTTTTTGTACCAGTGTAAAAGCCTTTTGTGTCACTTTTGGTAACTTTAACATTTGCTTGTTGATAAATTATTAATTAATCTTACTGACCCCAAACTTTTGAATGGCAGCGTAAATTAATACATCTTAATATATTTGTATACACATTTTATGACAGGGTTTAATTCAACTTAAGAGTGTCACTTTCTGACATGTAAAGATACAGTATATAATAAAATAAAAACATTTGTTTATGGATTAACAAAGAAGTATTTTTAACACATATGTAAGTGAGTGCATCTATAAGTAGGACAGTATGTGTGTGGCACACATTATCTCATGACTCATCATGTTAACATCAACCTAAGCACTCCTATGTGCTCCAGCCTGAGGCTCCTATATCTAACAGAGAGATTGCAGTGAGCTAAAGGTTAAAATATCAGGAGGAAGAGAAACACTGTAAGCAGAAAAATTACTCACTCTATCAGATCCTCTAGATGGTTATAAATGTCTTCATCCTCAACACTCTCTTCTGTGGGAAACAGCCTAGAATAGAAAGAGAGAGAGACAGAGAGAGAGATATAATATGAATTTTCATCCGCTGCACTCTTAAAATACTTATAATTATTCATTTCTTCTTTTTCAAATACCTTATTCCAGTCTGCTGTGCAATGTGTGTATGAGAGAGTTTGGACAGTGTGTCCATAACCTTAGAGAAAAAGATAAGAAAAATCATGATTATTTGTTAAGTAAGGGATTGTATATAATCAGACAGTTATTATTGTTAACTACACTGCTACTTCCTAAATAAATGGACATGAAATATTGATTAAAGCAGAAAATATATTACATGAAAATGAAAGAGACAACATGAAACTACCACAGATATGCAAGATATTCACCGACTGGATCAATAATCAATTATGCAGTTTAGCGGTCTTTATACAAAATTATCTGACCACCAAATTTCAACATTATCAATCAGAATTAAACCATGTGAAAATTAATGTTCTCTATAAACTGCATAACAGAACATAAAATGTGATACGTCAGTAACACTGTCATTTATATGCATTTAAATATGAATAGGCCTATTTATTTTCATTATAAAATACCCATTAAGTATTATAAATGAAATTTGTTTGTAAATGTTAACGATGAAAGATATGATATACAAAGATTTAAACTCATCATCTTTCGTTTTGAAAAAACAGCACCTCAACATTAGTACCAGCAGAGGTCAGTGTGCATCAATATTTCTTTATCAGCCTCTGACACGGAAAAAGAATGAAATTTATCATGTATGCTCTGTTATCACCAAGAGTGTTCACACTAATGAGCAACTCTTCATAGCATTAAATTCAACACATCAACGCCAGACTTCCCGATCAGGTCATGCACAGGTGTGCATTTAAATGCAAACAGACACAAACCTGGTCAAACAATTATATGCACAATTATAGCACAGTCAAAAATCACCAATTAACACTAAAACATCAGATCTGTGCCTTTTTAGAATGCATAATTTCAGCTGTATTCAGATTTCCATATCTATGATGAGCACATTGGTAATTTGTGCATTCGAACTCATAGCGCCTGCGGAAGATGTGTTCAGAAATCAATTGCAATCACACCGGCTTAGCTGAACTCTGCTGTGTGCACGGCAACTGAATTAAATTATGAATACAGAGCACAGACTGAGTCAAGCATGGACCCGTCAATCTCTGCACGCTACTCTGACCATTTTGCTGACTTGAGCCCACCTGCCACTGAGATGAGTGTGTGTGGGGGATTTCAGCTAATATTGGGGCAATAAAATGCAAAAGAGGAGAAATAGTGGCTTGGTGGCTAACAGGGAGGAGGGATAATAGAGGGAGAAAGAAAGAAAGAAAGAAAGAAAGAAAGAAAGAAAGAGAAAGATGCTCATCTTGTCTTTCTAGATTCAGTCTTTCAAAGAGATCTGATCCAGCACATTTGACCTTATATGCAACCAGCCTGGCACGTTAAGGGGAAATAACTTCTTATAATTCATTGTTGGGGAACCAGTCAGTATGGCCTTTTGGGAACAAATGTGTCAGTTTTGAACCTGAAAACTTTCACTTTAAGGCCTTTCTGTGCATTTCCCACAAGAAAAACACATGTAAAAAGGCACTAAATTATGTAATCAATATGTTTTAAAGGGGTCATATGATGCGATTTCAAGTTTTCCTTTCTCTTTGGAGTGTTACAAGCTGATTGTGCACAGATAAGATCCCTGAAGTTGCAAAGACTAAAGTCTCAAAACCAAAGAGATATTCTTTATCAAAGTTAAGACTCTGCCACGCCCCCCTAAAACGGCTCGTTCTAACACGCCCCCACATATCTACCTCACTATGTGGCAATATTAGCATAATGCGCCCAAATGTTCACGCAAAGAAAGAAGGCGTGGTTTCAGTAACCGCAGTTAGTGTTGAAGCAGCCAGGTCAGGGAGACGCTGTGTGTTTCTAGGCGAAAGCAAAAGCACTTTATTTGGCCTTCCGAAAGTAGATGCATTTAGGAATCTTTAAGATTACTTACAACAGAACAGCAATGCATTTTATGGACAACCGTTTCGTGAACCTAGGAGAGGAGGTAATTCTGACTTTACTATGACAATCTGGCGCTTCTGAATAAGCTACTGTTTTGTTTTTTGAACATTAAAGCATGTCAACATATTCTGTTACACCAAATACACCAAATAATGATCTTTAAAAAGGCATCATATGACCCCTTTAATGGTTGAACCTTTAAGATTTAAGATTTTCTTTCTTCAGTGGAACACAAAAGCAGAAGTTTAAAGGAAATCAGAAATAAATTGGAAAAATGTTTGCATTACATCACTTGCTCTCCGCTAATTCCTCTACAGTGAATGGGTGCCGTCAGAATGAGTCCAAACAGCTGATAAAAACATCACAATAATCCACAAGTAATCCACACAACTCATAAAGTCCAGAAGCAATGGTTTAAAGTTAAAATGCCTTGATGGATTTGTTTATTACAAACACAAAACATAAATTGATGGACTGTGGATTACTTGTGGATTACTGTGATGTTTTATCAGCTGTTTGGACTCTCATCCTGATGGCACCCATTCACTGCAGAGGATCCATTGTTGGGCAAGTGATGTAATGCTAAATCTCTCCAAATCTGTCTAAACAAGAAAACAAATTGTAAATCTAAATATTGGATCGTCATCTAAATCTTTAACAATGTTCACACTGTTCTTTTGCAATGAAATCTAATGGTGACCTGGGGCTTTCAAGCTCCAAAAATTACAAAAAGTACCACAAACGTGCTATAAAAATAGTTTATATGACTAATACACTACTTTACAAGTCTTCTGAAATTACACAATAGATTTTAAGCCACGTGGACTATTTTTATGTTTTTTAATGGTGTTTTCTTGGGGTTTTTTTTTTTTTGGTTGTTGATTTACAGCCCACATTCAGTTTTATTGTATGCAGAAGAGCAGCATAAACATCCCGTTTAACATTTCTTTTTGTGCTTTACAAGAAAAGAAAATCATACAGGTTTGGAAGAAGATAATGGTGTTTTTCTTCAAAAAGCAAAAACTCTTCCTGTCACCTCACTTACCCAAAAACACACATTGGCGGCATATGAAACTGTCTGTCTATCTGTTCGTTCATGTCATATATCTTGTGTTTGGGAAATCTCAGCTGGGATTTCCACCCTCCCACCCTCATATCTGCACCTCGCTATATTGTAACACTTACGCTTCAAAAAGGAAATTACATGATTTGTATTCAGGCCTATCACAGTATGTTCCAACAGTTTTGGCAGTCAACACCCTGTATATTTAGTGTTACGCTTTTCACAAATACTGGATGCAGAGACATCAGTGCTGATAGAAGACACACATGCGAACACAGGAAATTATAATACAGTTAAAAAGAGATGAACGGTTTGTCTGGCTTCCTGTTTAGGAAGCTCTACACTACGGCTAAAACAAACTGAGAAAATCTCAAAGGTGCAAGTGTTCACTTTCATTGTGTTTCTCATTAAAACCGGCACAGCACAGAACAGGAAGACCAAAAATGGAGCTGGTGCAAACTAAGCAATGGTTACTTTCACTTTTAAGAGGTAATAGACCATCTCGTCATTGCAAAAAATAGCACAGAGCTTTTTATGACACAAAATTTAAACCTTTCTAAGTGTGCTAGGGAAAATTTGAGTGCCTGACATGCTACTTTTAGAAAAGGGAAGATGCATTGGGAGTTTAAGGCAGACGGACCATCAAAATAGAACAAGTGGATAAAGCATAGAGAGAAAAGCCCCTTTATTTCCAGGATCTGATTGCATCTGTAAGGGCTTACATAGCACGGTGAAGAAGAGGAAAGGATGGAACTGTTTCTAACAGGTGGTGTGCTTCAAAGACCCCCTGTAAACCCAGCAAATTGAGTCACGGTGGATCCGCGACCTCAGACTGTTTCCTGAGGATAACAATAACTTTGGGAATGTTTCTCTCTGCGAATATTTAAGGGGTTGTCTCTGAAATACAATCGCTCTGTTTCTTTTAAAAGTGATGAAAGTTTTTGTAGATGCAGATTCACTGAAGTGACAGAAAAAAGATTTCGGTATGACTCTTAAGTGTGCTAAGTGAGTCTGTTGGAGTCTAGTTTCATATTCTAAAAAAACATTGTGGCTTTTCTCCTATTTATAATTCAACACACAAAGATTTCATAAGAACAGAGAAATAAGAAAAAAGAAATGATTCAGACATTTTTCTCTGAGCTTTTTAATCAGATTAAATCAGATCACGAGTTCCTTGAAAACATGTTAATATTAAAAACTATTTAGCATTTTTGGGTCTTAAAAGTGAAAATATTATATAATATATATAATAAAACTACATGGAATTTTTTTTTTTAATATATACAAAATTTTCATGTATTATTAGATCAGATTAGATATTTATTCATGTTTTAAGCCATGTTTTAATCTTTTAATAGTCTTTAATTATTACATTAAATTAAATAATAAATGAAAATAAGAATATATGAACTGATGTGTAGAGGCTACTTAATAGATGGTGTGAAATATTGATTAGAGGAATATTTATAGTACTGTACATGAGAAGAAAGAGAGAAAGAGACAACAAGAAACTATTACAGCTATGCAAGATTTTTGCAGACTGGGTCAATGATCAATTATACCATTTAGTGGTCATTACACAAAAATATATTTAGTAAGTAGCAGTATTCACCTTTTAAGTCCTAAAAATGTCTCTTAATATTAAATTAAGTTGTTTTCCTCCCCATTTTTACTTTAAATGTAAGCATATGTATCAGGCAGTGTGAACATACAGTACAAATCAGCAGGACAGTCAATGGAAAATCTGCCTCACAATGTCAGATTTTCTGCATCAGCTAAACTAAGTGAGCTGCAAGTTGAAGTACAAGTAATTAACACACATTAAGGAACTGCAGTCTCCGCTGTTGAATCACAGGCACCAGGTCCAGGGACTTTCAAATTTACCGATGTCTTTAAACACCGTATATGTAATATGTCAGCCTCTCATCAGTGAAAGGAGGTGCTTAACCTAGAATATATGCACTGTCAGCATTAGAGGGTTAGACTAAATGTTATATTATTATATTAAGACATTATGTGGAACATGTCTAAACACAGTTTGATTTGTGTGTCTTTTTTAGCAACAAAGCTATACGGTG